GACTGGCAGTTCACCGCCAATCAATTCGTCTTAAGGACAAACCCCTTGAGACTCACGACCTGTGTTACTTTTTCAATGTAACACTTGCGGTCGCAGTCTTTATGTAACATCCTCTCTGACGAGATGACGGTTCTGTAGTTTACAGTTGCTGCTGGCTGTCGTCAGCGCAGTCTTTTCGAGGTCTGATTCCTGCGGGACTCCTGACAGGACACAACGAAAGAAGAAACAACTTAACAACAACGTAGATCATTAACGGATCATATAAACAAGGGGGTAAAGAACGCTGCCCCGATCTCAGAGAACGGGAAATAACAACCCAATCTGCCGTGTTCAAAGAAGAGGCACGGAGACGCAAACCTCAGCGGTTCTAGATTTTAAATATTAAGTATATTAATAATGTATTATTAACTTAAACAACTTTTAAGTAAAAGTAAATGTATCCCTGTAACAGACCTTGGAGACCCATAGGGTTGTGAGATTTTGAGGGTCCCACATTTTCTCTAGACAATCGGTTCACAGATGGCAGTGAGGTTGTGAGCCTTACGCACCCCCCGCCCTTAACCCCCAAGAACACTCCAAGAATATTCCTGGTACTCATGAATGTTAGAGGCTGAGTCGACCACAGAGCCATAGTGCGGCTGGAAGGATTAGGTCAATTGAAACAGATCCAATGACCTCATCGGGACTTGAACCCGCGACCTTCCGGCTTGTAGCATAATTAAAAAGCTTCATGCAAAACTCTAAGCTTACGTACTATGATCTATGTAACAGTAGTTCCTTAACATGTTGTTATTGCCTTCAGAAAATGGTCACAGCTGACCGAAACATGTAAAGGCTTTATATACATATATACCGAGCCACACTAGACCTCGTTGTCAAATCATTTTATAATAATGGCCACATTTTACTGTCTCAGATTCGAGACAACTATTTTCAGAATAACTTTTTCAAATATCTTGTTTGTCGTAGACAAGAGGCTAATTGGGCGTAAATTTTGTGGAAATATTGGGTCCTTGTCGGGTTTCGGTAACGTTATAACTTTTCCTTCCTTCAAAATCCGTGGCCTGTAGTCCGCAAGGGAACTATACCGGTCGAGCGACCGCCACTTCTCTGCGAAGCTAGTACCAACTTTAGCGGATAGAGGGCGTCGCGTGGTCAGCGCAACGAATCCCACGGCTGTTAATTTCGGTTTCCTAGACTGGAGCCGCTATTTCCTTCAAATAGCTCCTCAATTATCCTCACTAGGCTGAGTGGACCCCATTCCAGACCCACTACTTATCAGAAGATCTGGTAGCGCCGGGAATCGAACCCGGGACCTCTGGATCTGTAGCCAGGAACTCTAACCACTAGATCACAGAGAGGGTATCTTTTCTTCTTTCCAAGGCTTTTGGAAAATTGGACAGCCGGAGACAGTGATTAAATAAATGCATCAGGTGTATCAGTGGTTTTCTTGGAAGATGCCTAAGGCATTCGTTTGGAATACCATGAAGTCCACCAGCCTTTCGAAATTTCATTAAATTTGCTACATTAAATATGTCACAAGGTCTTACTTTCCCCAACTTGGTGGCCTCCACCTCTCGGTCATGGTAGTCATAGTCACATTGTGACTGACGGTCAGTCAGTGAGTCAGTCTTGGTATCGAACCCAATCTGGGGCTTATGACCAGATATTTATTACTGTTTGACGGCTTCGGTCTTCTTCTTGTGGTTCGCCCTCTCTGACGAGAGGACGGGTGTGTCTTTTGTCAGAGTCATTGTCTGCAGTAGTAAGTCATTTGTCATAATGTAAAGGATATTTACATTTTACATGTTAAACATATTAATAAATGTATATAAATATATACAGGGCCTCTGTCAGTCCAGGCTCAGTACAGCAGATTATGCCCTATTTCTAGTAGCTTCCGCTACAACGGCAGTCTAGTAACTTGAACCGCCGCCAAGTTTAAGCCTCTAATATTTTCTGTGTCGGGCTTCTCCTTGTCCAATATTGCGAACATTTTCGTTATCATGATTTTATATGACTTCTGCTTTTTGCCTGCATAATTTTGTTATATAATCATATTAATTGGATTTGGCAGTTGGTCCTCATTATGTAACCTCAGCACAGACCCCACAGGAAATACCTCTCCCAACAGTTCTTCTATAGTTACATATGCGTCTGTTAAGGTATCCACGTGATGGCTACTCAGCCATTACCTAGCACTTTGTTTACAGAGCCACTACTTAGCAACGGCTGTTGTATAACTGCTTATTTCCAGGTCATTGTCTAGCAACGGATTTACATGCCACAATATATAAAATTGGGGGGGGGGAAGTGGAGACTGAAATTCCGACTCAAGCGTGGCCTTTCTGTCAATGCTGTCACACTCGGCTCCGGCCTATTGAACAAAGGTATTTAAGAAAATTAGACCGACTGGTAACTGCATAGTACATAGTTTTCTAGAGATATGAGATGTTCAGTGGTACTGTGGACACAGAAATTTCATCACAAAATTCAGAGAAACCTGCCATCGAATCGTATCCGAGGCCAGCTGAATCCCATCCTCATCTAAAAACGAGAGAGAAGAAAATTGAAACGTATTGATTCTGTTGCCTTGCTTAGAATTGTTCTAACTGTTTTTTTGTTTCCTTTATTTAGCCAAATTCTAGTAGTTCTGTCAATATTTTGACAGTTGGCAAAACATTCTTTCGAAATCTTGAGCTGCGATATTTTAAAGATATTTTAAGTTGATTTTACATTGTGGGATTTCAAAATCACTTGATGGTCTAGACCAGGGGTCTCCAAACTTTCCGAAACTTGGGCCACATTAGGTAATTCAGCACTTTCAACGGGCCTGCTAAAATGATAAATTAATGACTCCAGGTATAGTTTTATTGAAAGCACAGAATTTCGTAAACTAAATACAAAGTATGTGAGAATAAATTATCGTATATTAATGACAACAGACAGTAGCAGCAAATGCTCATATTTTCATCACAAATTATAATAAAACAATTAATATGAATGACGGAACTCTTTTTTCATTCTTAAAATCTGATTAAATTGAGGTTCAAATTTTGAAAAGCTAATCACAAGTAGCGACTTTAAATGTTCATCGGATAAATTTGCCCTGTATTTCGACTTGATGTACTTCATCTGGGAAAAAGTTTGTTCACACAGATATGTTGTCCCAAAAATGGAGATAAAGTTACAAGCACATTTCTTTAAATTTGGAAATTGCTCAGAGTTCAGAAATTTATAAAATTCAATCAAATTTCCTTCCTTGTATTTGTCTTTAATATGATAATTTTCTTGAAGTTCAATAATTTCAATTTGAATTTGACTTGGGACATCTGCTGCATCACAGTCAAACGGATTTTTAAACAATTTAATTTCCTAAGCACTGGCATCCAAATCAGCAAATCGCTTACAAAATTGTTCTTTCAAATCTGAAATGACTACATTTGCAAACGAGGAAGGAATTTCAGCTTCACCCTTTTTATGCAGCTCTGCACAGTATAGCATATGAACAAAGTTACAATTTTTCACTTGGCTTTCCAGAAGTATCAACTTTGCTCTGAATGCCCTGATAAGTGCAAATAAATCACAGACTAAGTTATTTTCACCCTGCAACTTTAAATCCAAATTGTTCATATGGTTCACCAGATCAGCAAAAAATGCTAATTTCCAAAGCCACTCGGTATCTGATAAAAGTGGTTGTGAATAATATTAATATTAACATAATATGGAATATCAATATATTTTAAATACAATCTTAATTAGTGAATTTGAAATCTATGAACAAATATTTCTTTTACCAGTAATCATTGGAAAATTAGTTCAAGTGGCGCATTTCTGCACAATTCTTTCGCTGGCCGGATAAAATCACATCTCGGGCCGTTGTTTGGAGACCCTTGGTCTAGACTACACTGAAACGAGCGGCGTAACACACCGGAAATATGTCCTGCATTAATCGAAATTATATTTTCGTGAAAAAGAAAAGTTATCCCCTCCCCATAATTCTAGGACCCTGCCGAAATAAATAAATAACAATCGAACAAAAGTTGGAGGCAACTTTTCAGAAAGATATTAATGTCCCAGTGTACAATTCTGTGTCTAATTTGAAATAATTTGAAATAGATATCGATTGTACTTTTAAAATCGATTGTGTCAATCTGGCAGGTCTGCCGTGTACTCGAATGCACTCTGGTGGTGGAGTGTGTAAACATTCTCGATTAGTTGGAGTAGGTCGATGTAGTAGATTTCTTTCCAGCGCAATGAACTATTTATTTTCTTTTTCTGTCTTAACACTTGACTGTACACCGATTTCGATCTGTGATAATTCATTGTTAGATGTATGTGGCCTACGCTACGAAGTTGCCCTTGATACAGAATCAAATGCTGGAGCGTAGGAATCCGCCCATATTCCACCGCCCACCACGGTACCGCATTACTAAACTTGGTAATCGTATCATGTGCACTACGAGATGATCAAAAACACTGGATCTATTACATGGCGGGTAAAATGTTCATACCAATTCGTAATCATAAGTTCTCTCCTTCTATATGAGATCTTAAAGAGCGTGCAACAAATGTGACAAGAAAATATAATAAATCTACTATGATGGCTATTCCAATGAAGAATAATTTGAAACTTTGTTGTGTATCGTGAAGCAATATGTAGAACAAGAAAACGATTCACAAGTCTTCTTATAAGCAGAGAAACAATCATCACAAATTTTCCTCCGTTTGTCATGACCATATTTGGTTGAATGCATCAATCGCAGCGGAACTCTCGTTCGTTTGTAATAAATGGCGACTTTTTACATTTAATATGTGTCATGAGCATGTAATAGGTTTTTCTAATACTGCCAGTACCTTGTAGGTTGCATGGTTTTCCTCTTTTCCGCTGAAAAATAAGATTAGTTTCTACGGAAATGTTACATCCGATCTGTGACTGTACTAGCATCCGGTGACGTCACAGATTCTGACCAATCGCGCGTAGAAGGGGTGAGCCTTGCGCTAGAGCAGAGAAATTTTGGGTGTGTGCATTTATTAGAGTGAAGTATTTTTTTGTTTTAAGTGAGATATGATTTGTTGAGGACTGTTTGAAAGGTACGTAATATATTTTTGGGGAATGTTCTTTGGCCTTATTACCAGTGGTATTGATTGGTTGTTATCATACTTGAGATTCAGTGGTTTTTATATCACAGATGGGGAAGGCTCGTTTCATATCATTCGCCATTTGTATTCTCTTACCCATCCCCCTTCGCTTTGGAAAGCAATATATTTTGCACTGTATCTTGTGCGTATACAGGAACATTACCGTCTGAGGAAACGAGTATAATATTTCGTTAATATTTTGTGTTTATACGCGATATACTGGCAGAAGAAATACACTGATCTGAGAATTTTAATCTCGTTTTGGCATATTGATAGTTTGTTGACATGGGGGTTGTCACTGGCGAATATTTCGAGAATGTTTTCAGCTTTCTCGTCGGGTTTTTACAGATGTTAATGCCAGATATGGATATTTGTATAATTTGTGAGTACATTCGGCGTATTATATGTGTAATGTTTTGAAATATGGGAACACTTAAGATGCATTTTGTAATGTTTGCATTGGATGTGTTAATGCATTTGCTCTAGTTTAATACCAAGCGTGAATAAAATTCGTTATAGTGTTCAGAATATTGAAGATCCATCAGCTGAAGACAGTGCATCAGTTATGTTGCTTCTTAGGAATCACGTTACGTTTGAAAATAAGCATTTGCAACTGTTTTAGGCCCATGATGTTAAAATCTCATGACACAAATATTGATTTATTTTGGTTCAGATTTGCTTTAGGGATGCTGATAACCATTTTTTAGCGTTTTTTAGACAGTTAAATAGCACTTATACTCAGTTATGGCCGAACAGGTGCCTGCGAAGAGTGACAGAATGCAATTTTAAGGTGACTGTGATGTGCATGTATTAGGTTCATGCTTCTCTAAATTTAAGTTTTTACAGAATGCTATGAATAGATCAAAGTTGCATACTATTAGTATGATATGGGAAGGGTGAAATGTCAAGGAAATAATGAATTTTGTTTGTGAATTAATTTGTTCATGAGTTGAGTCTCTCACCATGGTGGCTATGAAGATTACAGTCTGCTGGGATGTGACATCATGTAGTTTGGTATAAACCGAAGTTTGGGAGGTAGCTGCTGCCTCTTTTTTGATTGGAGAAGATGAAGGGAGCATGTTCCTTGAAAATCTTCTTACGAATCTACCAAACTACACGGTGTCTCATTTTAGAACATCATAATTTCCAATTTTATAATGAATTAAAGAAATCCATTTGTTAAATTGCATGTATGTTCTGTTACATGTTGCAATTTAGACCTAAGAGAACTGATATAACCAGAGACAGCAGAAAATTACACAGTGAGGAGCATAATAATTTGTACTTCTGGCCAGATACCATTAAAATGAGAAAATCAATGAGAACAAGATGGGTGGACATGTAGAACACATGGGAGAGAACAGAAGTTAACATAGGATCTAAAAGTTTGTGATGGCGGATAATGTCCAACAACACATTAATTGTAGAAGTTAACATCTCATGTACACATATATCTCCATCTTAAATGCAACTTATTTTGTAGTCACCCTTCTTCCTCGCTACATCTTTTGGCCATGTTTGGTCATTGTTAGGTATTGCCAGTTTTATTAAAATTGTTTCACCGTATGCCAAAGTTATGTATCACATCTGAACACGATATTTCCTAATTAAAATGAATTGAGCTTGGGATTAAGATCAATTAACATCTTAATAGCAAAATTAACAATAATAGTAATATGTTCTTTACATATTGCAGATGATAACTACACAAACATACTTGGGAAATACACAATAACACACAAACACCCATGTTGCTGCATAAATAAATCATACCAGGATCTCAAACCATGTCGTTTGGATGAATGAATGATGCCTCAAAGCAAGAGAGTGAAACTTAACGAAATTTTAACTAAATTGGTACTAGTTTTTTTATTTTATTTTAAGTTAAGAGGTATCGCATTCACCTGTGATGTGAGAAATTGGACATACCAAACAGTGCAACAGTTTTAGTGAATTAGAGACATCAGATGATGGCTGTGTACGGCCGAGACACATTGTGAGAAGGAAAGGGGACAGTAAATTGTGTTGTAGACGGAAATGTATTCTATGAAATAAATGATATATTAATGCAACAAAATGCTTAAATACAATATCTTAATGTTATTTCCATTGTAGTCATCATCCATTCATTTAAAAGATATTAGCTTGAGTATTTCTCGTTCTTCGATTTAGTTGTGCTGCATTCTCTTTGCAGTGTGGGTAATATGCTTATTGTTTGTTCAGTCCGCAAGGATGTTGATGTAATGTTGTTATCAGTGTTGTTATGTATGTATGAAATCCATATGAAGTTGTGGAAACAGAACATGGAGGAAAGAACCACTAGGAATGCTTAGGCATTGAGGGGAGGATAATATAAAAATGGATCTTACAAAATTGGAGGGTAAGGACTGAATTCATTTATCTCAGAATAGGGACCAGTTGGGGTCACTATTGTAAACATAGTGATATGAATGTTTACATTCTGTAAAATGCCAGAATTTCATAAGTAGCTGAACAAATAGTGAGTCCTGATGGACTCATTTCCATGGGATTAGTGACATCTTGTGAGTGTACCATCATTGAATTGCTCTGTCACAATGTTTTACTGAATTGCTTGTAACTGCAATGAAGCAGTTGTACCTGAGAATAATTGTTTTTAGAGTAATCACACCTTATAAACATTTAGAAGTACAGGAAATGTATAGAAAGTTTTGGTTGGAATACCTCAAGAGATGAGAAATCCTAAATATAAATGGGGTGAAAAGTAAAAAATGTAAAAATAAACTATCCCTGTAACAGGCCGTGGAGACCCATAGGGTTGTGAGATGTTGAGGCTCCCACATTTTCTAGACAGTTGGCTCATAGATGGCGGTAAGGTTGTCAGCCTCAAGCTCAGGCCGCCCTTTACACCCAGGAATATTCCTGGTACTCATTTCTGTTAGAGGCTGAGTTGACCCCAGGGCCATAGTGCGGCTGGAAGGATTAGGTAAATTGAAAAAATCCACCTTGTCGGGATTCTATCCTGCGACCTTCCAGCTTGTAGCATAATGCCTCAACCAACTACGCTACCACGTGCCATGTAAATGGGGAGATAATATTAAAAATAATTAGCAATAGATTTTGTAGTTGAAAACTATATTTAACTGGCTCAGGGTCGGTTCTAGAGATGAGAACTGAATTAAACTTGGTAAGGTAGCATAATAGAAAATGTGAACATGGTGAAGAAACACTGTCCCCCCCCCCATAAAAGAAATTGAATTCTCAATCTGAATAGTTCTGTGTAAAGAAGGCTGTATTGGAGACGTATATGCAGTTGGTCTATACTTTGGTTGGAGAATGTCAGATAAATTTTTGCTCCAAGGCTTTTCATTGTCATTCATTTTCAGTTCTAAATGAAAGATAGTTAGGAAATGACTGTGTTAACAAGATTATCGCAATGTAAAACACAGCCTCACTTTCCTACTTGATATTTTATGTGGAGATTTCCCCAGATCTGGTGGCATACAATATTTGTGAGCTTCTGGCTACAGTGTCTTTGAAATTCTAAAAATAAACAAGTGGTTATGCTGCCAGCAGGATGGTGAGTCACATGCTCTGAGGGCCACGTTTATCCCTTAAGGGTCTCTAGCCCCCCCCAGCCAAACAAACGCTGTAGTTACAGTTCATGGCTCTGTGCGGACTGGAAACAGAACCATCAAGAAACGTTTATTTCACAGAGCAGTCGGTATAGCGACTGACTATGGCCTGGACGACCGAGGGGTCGGAGTTCGAATCCTGATAGGATCAAGAATTTTTTACACGTCATCCATACCGGTTCTGGGGCCCACCCAGTCTCCTGTCTAATGGACGGGGCAAAGCGGCCGAGGCGTGAAGCTGACCACTTACTTCCAAGTAGTGTCAAGGTCAACAGTGGTGGAGCTATACTTCCATTCCCCCATATGTCTTCATGGCATAATGCTTAACTAGTGAGGCACAGCGACAACTTCAGAACAAGTATTTTGGTTGCAATTCCAATCCCCTTCTGGGATGAAAAACATGATGTGCTCTTGAAAGGGGCAATTTTCCTTCTCACGGTTCTGATTGGTCAGATCAGGCTTCATTTCATTACCCCGTCTCTTAGGTGTGAGTGACCCCTCTCTTTGCAGCCTGTTAATATAACTGAGCCAATTCTTTACCATACTTCAACCCTGAAGATGGAGTCAGCGTGTTCCTCGGAAACCTTGATGTGTGTCTGCAAGACTACATGGTATGACAACTCAGAAGACTACTGAAGCAACCAGTATATACCAATATATCGAGCATGATGACATAAAAGAAAATTCTTATCGTTAAATTAATTCTGATACGCCGATTCAATATCTGGACACTAGAATTTTGCCTCACGTTGCAGTTTTGGGTATTGAATTTTTAGTCGAAGTATGACGAATATCGTCTTCTGAGATGTGGCGGGGTGTAGATCCTGTGTGAACCGACGTTTCGGAAGAACGTATCGCCTTTGTCTTCAGGTTAGAAAAATCCGCGAGCAGGAACCCAGCTGGAGCAGGTGGCTGAAGCCACGTTCCTCCGAAACGGTTCACACAACATCTCCACGGCGTCACATCACAGAAGATGGCATTCTTCATAGTCACCGCCGTGAAAACCTCAAATCTTATTCAGCCAAAGTAGTTTTTTTTTCTTGGGTCTCGTCTGTTTGCCATAATACTGGAAGTGATATTTTACCAGTGAATAAAAGTTTTTCCCCTCGTTTAAACAACGTCATTATTTCAAATTGCGTAATAAATGGCAATACGTTCATATGTATTGCATGCAGAAATTGAGGATAAAATGAATTTCGCGTTTTATAACGTTTTGACTGCCATTTTTTTTTGGTGATAGCATCCGGCTCAGTTAAAAAGTAACTTACGCCATACCCATTATCGAAAAAAAAAGGAAAACTTGTTGTGCCGTGTAATTAATTTAGGTTGTCTTATTTT